TGAGAGGAAAATAGATTAACAAACACACAGCAGAAAATCGAAGCGTCTACCTCTTCTAATTTTTCTCTTTAAAAAATTAAGTACTTGATTACCAAAAAAAAAGAAGTCAAAATACCAATAAAAAAAGTTAAAACTCGTGCGAGCGATGAAAAAGAGAAAAATTGACATTGACAACATTTGTTGGGTCCACAAGAGTCCAATTTTTTTTTTCTCTTTTTGATGACACAAGAGTCCAAATTAAAAAGAAACAAAGAAACGCAAGAAGAAACTTGCGATACAACAGAAAATGTGGCACTCTCACTCTGCCTCTCGACCGATCGCGCGCTTGTCTCATGTTTCATCAAGTATTATCACATACACTTGGCGATGCTATCCGATTTGGGAGAAAAATTTGATTTAACAAACGCGTGTACTTTACTCATCATATTAACTGGATCAATATACATATCATTTACAATACTCAATGCGACGGTCTATAGTTTGCATTGTTAGTACACTCCACCAGTAATTATACATACTATTTCTAGAAGTTTCTATTCTCATTTGGAAGGATAGAGTGTTTGCTGACAAACTTATTAGCACTTCAAAACTAATCCCCCTCCAAACTCTTTTTAGTAGGAACTCCCTGTATAGGCCTGTTGCAAATAAGGAACTAAACCATGAGGAGTATTCTTGGAAATCGGGGTTGAAGTTGAGTTTTGCCAGGATGAAGGGGAGACCGGAACAGGTGCAACTGCAAGGGCCAATTACTGTGGTAAAGAGAAGGTGGTTAGGACTTTTGGTCTTGTTTTTGGGCTTGGGCCGTTTTGTCTCTATTTTTGAGCCGATGGACGATGCTTTTGAATTTGTAAGATTTTCAAAGGCGTTGGCTGGATTCTCCGGTCCGGTGTCATATACTCCCACCGGGCGCTGCCATTTTTCTCCACCGTCTCAGTTCACCAGTATCGCTGGAGAGGCCGGCTGTCATAAAGGTAGCAGAGCAGAACCATCGCCTGCGGACTCTCCCTCCCGATCAATCGCTTCAGAGCCGCCACACCATTTAACTTGATTATCGACTTCGAATGCTCCGATCGAAGAAAGTGATCTTCACAGACGAACTTCTGCAACGCGATAACAGCTTCCTCAGCCACTTTGCGGTGCTTGCTTCTAATCTGCGCCACCAGAGATTCAATCACTCGAATCTCTCTAGCTGGAAAAATCCTAGCCAGAGACCCAATCGATCTAATTGCCGGAATCCGCAACTCAGGACCCTCTGATTCTTTGATCACCCTCAATAGCTCATCAATGACGGCTCTGACATCCGGTGAATTAGTCTTTGAACAACCACATGCTCCTCTGCGAAAGCCTGCTGCGCCTGGGGGTACTTCACCGCTAATCTCGCAACCAGACTCGCCGCCTGGATCTGAACCCTGATGGGGAAGCCCTCAATAGATGAACGATTGTTGGAATTCCGCCTTCAGTTATAATAGACCTCACTCTCTCTTGATCATCTGAGAGAATATAAAGAGCATTAGCCGCAACTATTTGGGCTTCTGTCCAGTTCTCTTTGAGAAGGTTTAGCAAAGGAGGGACTCCGCCTTCTTTGATGATGATTCTCTTGTTCTTCTCGTTTGCTTGTGCAAGCAAAGCAAGATTGTGGGCGGCCTCGATCCGATTTTTCAGTAGACTCATTTCAACGGTGGCGATGAACGCCCAGACCCATGAAATAACCGGATCTTTGATTGCGATTGGAGGCACGGATAGGTCAGGTTCCCTAGAGGCGCAGCCGATGTTTGGGTCGAAGAGGCTTAGCAACCAGTTCATATCGGCAATTGAAGATTCCAGAAGTGCAAAGATTCTGGGAAAATCGGTTGCGTGCTTGCCGGTGACAAACCGGCGAAAGAGGGTGCATCGCTTGCACTTCCGGACCAGGGTCAGTGCGCGCTCAAGGTTTTTGGAGACTTCAGTGACTATGCGGACGATTGGCCGGTCGTATAAGGGCGGAGATGCAGCCGACCAGATCATGAAGCATCGGCCTCAAGCAACCCACTAAATTCCCAACGTGGACGCACTCCATCTCGAACAAGTTACACTCTGCAACTGCTGAGTTAACTCGTCTTCCAACTCGTTCAGCCATCAAAATCTTTTCCAACACCACCATCTCCTCCTCCTCTAGGTTTTCCTGTATCACCAGATAATTTCTTTCTAACTAATTTCGTTCTAATTAAATTTTGAATTACTCACTTCTGCCCGATGTTCCTTTAATTACTGCTCCTTAAATAAGAGTTCAAATCTTTGGTTATTTCTACCTACTTTCAAAAAAAAAAAAAATCTTTGGTTATTTCCTTGGTCCGGAATCACCTGGTAATTTCGAGGAAAGAGCGGAAGATGACGTTGCTTCTCCCTCTCTCTCTTTTTTTTTTCGCCTTTTTTCTCATAAATGATAGTGGTATTATAAATACTTAAGGTTTACCAAAGAGCTGCACGAAAAGTTTGATGCTTTTAAAATAAAATTTTGATTTTGAGTCCTGAATCTGAATAAAAAAATAGATGATAGCTGCTGAGAGAGAATTTTATTATTTTGTTTATGAATTTTGATGTGATTTAATTTTAAATTAATTAAAATTTAATTATAACTTTTAAATATCAGGAAATTAATTAAAAAAAAAAAAACCTCAAGGTTTGGGTAGTAAACCTAATATAGTTAGCAATACACAAAGGGTTTATACGGAGTGAATAATCAAACAATGTTATTTCTCTTTCACATTCATATTTTATATGATTTTATTACTCCCTCCCAAAGCGACAACAAATTAATAGGCTAATTTACGTGGGTAGTATATAAAATTAAT